CAAATTATATCTCCGCTTTATTTGCCGGGCTTATATACTAAAAAAAGAAGGCACCTAGAACAGACTAGAGTTGCCAGGAAAAGTCATGATCCTTCTAGAAACTCCAGCGCGCATGTTTCCAGCGTCGCGTGACTTCCGCTGTCGTAACATTTGTTACACTAAATAATAGGATTGGACCGTCACTCGTATAATGCACCCACTGCCACAAAAGTGCAAAGCTAAATGTTTTAAAATGTTTCTTTGGTGGTAACTGGACGTAAACAACGGAGACTCAGCTCCACAGTCAGTTAATTACCTGACCACGCTTGGTCCAGTATAATATTATAATATGTTAGTAAGGTTACTACATAACATCTGATTATAATGTGTCGGTAGGTTACTACATGACATCTAATTATAATGTGTCGGTAGGTTACTACATGACATCTGATTATAATGTATCAGTATTTTACTACATAACATATGATTATAATGTATCAGTACATTACTACATAACATATGATTATAATGTGTCGGTAGGGTCTTGGAATTTCAGTTCTATGAGCTAGATTGAGATTAAAGTACAATTTGTGAGAGACGTGGAATTTCAAACTACGGAACAGATTTTTATTAAACAAATTCACTTTAATCACTCAATTTAACATTGTAAGTTCATTCCATTTTTCTTAAACAAACAAGACTACGACTGTATACAAACAATACTGTAGTATAGTACGGAATGTAACCATACGTCCAGACTACGACTGTATACCAACAATACTGTAGTATAGTACGGAATGTAACCATACGTCCAGACTACGACTGTATACAAACAATACTGTAGTATAGTACGGAATGTAACCATACGTCCAGACTACGACTGTATACAAACAATACTGTAGTACAGTATGGAATGTAACCATATGTCCAGACTACGACTGTATACAAACAATACTGTAGTACAGTATGGAATGTAACCATACGTCCAGACTACGACTGTATACAAACAATACTGTAGTACAGTATGGAATGTAACCGTATGTCTTGTTCAACCTATAATTCCTATAAAATATTGTGAATAAGTTTCACCGAAATAATGCAAAGTTTTACCGGAATTTGTTTTCCAGATTTCTTTAAAAGTCACAATTTTGGCTTATGTTAACGTGTAATTATATCTAGCCCCTGAAGTGTAAAAAAAACAAAAAATATTCCTTATTATTCAAACAAAACAAGCATTGGCGTAAGTTTTATAAATAAAAATCGTTTTAAAATGCGGTAAAATATGTTGGTATTATTATTTGAATTTTCCAGGAACTTACCTTTGGCAATCTTAACACAAAGTCCAGCGAAAAATGACTTAGAAAAATTTATGTAGCAGAACTGGAGCAATTCAAATTTGTCTTTCACCTATTTTTGTAAAAAAATACAAAGAAAAATCAACTTACTACAACAAGCTACATAAAAAATGACAGAATCAAATAGTATACATCTTTCTCGAGAAGTACAGTTCAACTGTCGAGATAGTTTTCTTTAGTTAACTTTAACAAATAATGTTCCATATTAGTGTCAGCCGCCCTCTATTGTTTTATATTGGTTCCAAAGTCGAGGCTCACCAGGTTGCTGGAGGTAGCTCCCTCACTCTTTTTACCGGGCCTGAAGTAGCAGTTCCCAAAACTGTTACAGATGGCCCTTTATTGTTTGGAACTTGACGTACAGTTTTAGTTCACTAAGGTGCTATAGGTAGCACTCTGTGTTTTGTTACGTTATCTGAAGCTGTAGTTCACCAAGTTGCTACAGGCAGCCCTATATTGTTTGTTACTTAACCTGAAGCTGTAGTTCACAAAGATGTTATTTAACCTCAAAATGTAGTTCACAAAGTTGCTATAGGCAGCTCTCTATTGCTTGTTACTTAACCTGAAGTTGGTACTCAACTTGAGATTGGTATTCACAAAGCTGCTATATATATATATATATATA